GGGGGTGGCCGGGCGTTTGTTTGGGGGAGGGGGGGGGGGGGGAGCCACTGCTGAGCCCGGCGTGGAGGAAGCCATGGTTATCTCCTACAGCCACGAAGGTCCGGGCGTGCTGGGCTCCCCTCAGCTCTGCCGGAACGTCTCCGAGGCTACTACAGCCGAAACACTTTCTTACCGGTTGTGTTAGCACGGCTGCTCACGGGGACCCGGTTAGGCATCACGGTCTCAGCTAGCCTGGGCTGCAGCACAGAAATTAGATCTTTGGTCTCTTGACCTCGAAAATTTGATCCAGAGGAGACAAGCTGCTGGCTCCTTTTCAGACTGTTGCCTTACCCCGGCTTGCAAGGTCGACTGGCCCCAGCCTTCTGGCAGCTTCTGGGGCTTTCAGCTCCTTCCCTTCCTCTCTCCCTTCTTCCCCACACTGCAGCTGCCCTGGCCCTCACCCTTCCTCGGGGACGCCTGGGTTGTCCCTCGATGGACACACGGCCGCTCCGTCTCACGGAGCCTGTGGTTTCTCCACTGTCAGTGCTCTGCAGCTGCTCCCTCCCGGCTCTGCCTGGCATGTTCCCGGCTGGCCCACAGAGCTTGGCGCGGAGCCTGGCATGCATCTGCTGCACGGGCTGCGTGCCTGCGAGGTTGGGTCCCTGCGGTGTGCGAGAGCCGGCCCTGCTGAGGCTCAGTCTTGGCCATCGTCAGCCCTGGGAAGCGTCTGGCTCCCGCCTGAGCAGTCCCTGTGCCATGGAGAGTTCCAGACCCTCCGAGCTCAGACGGAGGCAGAGGCTCTGTGCTGTGTGGCTGGCGTGTGCCAGTGCACCTTGCGCCTACGGTTGGCGTTAGCCCCACGTGCCCGCAGACCTGGCCACATTCTCTGGCCTCTTTCCAGCCGATGGTCACAGACTAAGCCACCCTTCAGCAATGAGACTGGACTGTAGTTGTTTTTGAAAGATGAATTTGCAGGTAATTTTCTAATTACCAGCAGTTGTCAAAAGAACTGAGACAAAAGACTGCTGGATCTTCGCTTCGGCACAAATGAGCCCTCCCTAGGCAGGAGGGGCGGGCCTGCGCCTGAGTGACGGATGCGGGAAGTCGGCGGCTTAAACACCAGTTAGCGCTCTGCTGCTTCTGCCAACGCGGGTCAGTGCTGGGCAGAGCTGGGCTGCCTGAGGATGGAGGTCACGCCGGGCCAGCCGGGCAAGCCAAGGTTGCAGAGCTGATGACAGGAACATGCGTCAAGGATGTCGGCATCGCTCGCAGTATCGAAAAGTCCGTCTTCATCTGATGGAACGCTGCGGAGTCTGAATTGTCACTGCAGGCGTTCATGATGTGGCGGGGATGGCCGCTGACCTAGATAGTGCCCGGAGATGCCGCCAGGGCACTTTTTCATAGGAGCTTTAATCTGCAAGAATTTTTCTGTACAGTTGCTATCTGCAGAAATGTCACACACAAGGTCATAGTTATCAGGTGATTTTTGTATTTTTTTCTGCAATCGTTGGTGTGACATTTTCCTTTATTAGTTGTTGCATTTTGTCATGGATTGATGTACTGGTGGCTGGGGGGGTCCTGTTGGAGCTCTTTGGCAGGTTCAAGGCTGGTTTGCAGTCTTGGGAGTCTAGATGCTTGACCTCTCCAGACCCTAGAGCAGAACTAAGCAGACTCGAAGCACCGGTGTGTCTACCAGGGTGCCAGTTTCTTAGTCTGCAACAACAGCGCTATCTTTCTAGAGAGGCAGACCTGGAATCTTCTCTCCAGGGTGCCCCATTCCTTACAGCGACTGCAGAGACAGTCATGGCAGGGAAGGGACAGCCGTGACAGTGAAGAATGGCAGACTAGGTGCAGAGCACTTCCCCAGCCCCACTGACGGACTGAGCCATGCCCAAGCCTTTGTGAGCCTGCCTCAGTTTCCTCATTTATAGGTGGAGGTCATGCCTCTACTGTTGAAGTCGTAAGAAAGGTTGAAGGGGATTGTGCATATGCACCGCT